TAATTACGTGTTTTTGACACGCACCACACCCAATTATTCCTTTTAGATAAAATTCTTATAATTTTATTTCATATTTTACATCTATTTTTTATTTTCTTTCATTTTAGTCCAACTTAAAGGGTTCTTATATTTTTGTGCCACGTAAGTGGAAGACGTTTCTGCAGGAAAGGATGTTAAATTGTGAAATAATATGTAATGAATGTTAAAATGGTAAAAATTTTTTAGATATATTTAAGTAAAAAAAGCCTATTAAGGAAGTATGATATAAAATGTTTGACAAAATAGTTAATTTGATTTTTTAATATTTCGATCTTAATGTTTTATTTTGAAGTAAAAAGATCTCCTCATAGTTAAAAACTATTAATTATTAAATTATAATGATTAAAAATATGATTTTTTATATTATAAATAAAACGCTAAGGACTAAATACTCTAAAAAAGTGAATAGAGGCTAAAGACTAAATCGACTACGAAATTAGACGTTAGGATTCTTTTTGTAGATAAAATATTTATGTCAAAATATTTAAAAAAAGTATAATGAAAAACATTAGCCTCTAATATTTCTACAAATTGTAATTTTATCCTTTATCTTTCTAATATTTTAATTCTAACGATTCAATTTATTGTCAAAAAATTCTTATTAAATAGAATCGTAAGTGATTAACAATCAACATGTATTATTAATGTAACATTTTCTTTTGTATTTAATTGATAATATTACATATATATCACTCACAGTTAGGGGTGTAAACGAGCCAAGTCGAGCTCGAGTATTGCTGAGCTCGACTCGACTCGAAAACTCTGAAATGGAGCTCAACTCGAAAACTCGCGAGCTTAAAATTTTCAAACTCGACTCGAACTCGAAATCCTGAACTGAAGCTCGTGAGCATCTCGAAAAGGCTCGAAATGAAAAAAAATTCTTAAACTTAACTCGATTAAAGCCTCAAACTCGAACATGAACCTTAAATACATAAAATCTTATTGTATTTTAAAAAAAATCAATACATAAATATTAATATTATTATTAATTTATTTTTTTAAAATAAAATCTTAATATATTATATTTTCGAGCTGCTCACGAGCTTTTCGAGTCGAATATCGAGTAGCTCGTTTCAGCTCGTTAAGAACTCGAGTCGAGCTCGAGTCGAGTCCATTCAATCCGAGTATTTATCGAGCCTTGATCGAGTCGGTCTCGAATAACTAGCGATCTGTCTCGTCTCATTTACAGCCCTACTCACAGTGAAGACATAATATGTAAAAATATAAAATGCAACATTATTAAACTAACAACGTGATTTAAATATTATATAAATCAATAATGTAAAGATTAAAATATTATAAATTAATCATTAAAATATTATTTTTAATAAAAATTAATGACAAAAAATAAACGAAAATAATCATTTTATAGTTCAGCCTAACTTTATGGCATATGATAAATATGAATTTAATATTATAAAGTAAAAAAATACAAGAGAAATACAAAAGTTATGAAATCTATTAAATTCTAGATTTGTCCAAATTGGCCCTAGACAATTCACTAAATTCCCTCTCAACCTCCAAAGCCAAATCCACTTCCCCAAACCTTCTCAACCCTTTACTCAAAACTTTAACCACATACTCCCCAACTTTTCTCCTGGACCCGATCCCATTTTCCTTCATCAGCCCACAGATCCTGACCGTTGATACCTTCCTTCCAGCCCCTATCACACCCTTGATCAGCCTCACAAGGGCCTTCTCGTCATCACACTCGATACTCCCCAGCTCCTCGACCAACCCATCAATCTCCTCCATGAGTCGATTCCTGGCCAGCGCGGCGACGACGTCGGCATACAAAGCCAAGTCGGGAGGCGGGTATTCTGATCGGATTGTGGAGAGGACATGGAGGGCGAGGGTGCATTGATCTTGCCTTAGGAGCTCGCGTAGGGCGGCGATGAGGTCGGATTTGATCAGGCGGGAGAGGGAAGGGAGTGGGGTGAGTGTTGTTGCCGTCGATGAGGAGTTGCGGTGGGCGCGTTTGAGAGCTTGGATGGCTTGGATGGCTTCGGTGCTCAAGATACGGCCTTTGACGAGAGGACCACGGTTGTCTCGTGGGCCGCAGCGTATCGGAGTGAAGCTCTTGTGAGCGGGGAGTGGGTGGAGAGAAGGGATTGAAGTGGGATTGAACCGGAGAGAGGAAGCCATGAAAATGGTGAAGATTTTTGCGATAAGCAAAAATATCAAAATGGATAAAAGGGTTTTAGTTCAGACTCTCTTTTACGATGCCGTTTTGAGTTCACCGAAACGATGTCGTATATGCAGCAGTTGCTGCCCTATTTTGATTCACTGAGGATTATTCACCTTATTATTTAATTTCTGTTTTAATTATTTAAATATTAGTTTTTTTAAATATGTAGTATTACATGCTTAGAGTTAATTAAGTGTCTAAATAATGCTTCAAAAAATGTCTTATGCCTCAGATGTGTTTATATTTTTTTAATTTTTTTAATAATAAAAATATTATTTATTTTAAAAAAAACTTAATTTATTTGTAAAAAACCTAAACTTTTAATGAAATTATAAAAAACTAAAATATCTTATTTCAACCCCATTATCAATTGTTGTCAGCTATTTCCAGTCACCATCATTGTCGAATAATTGAGTTTTGATTGGAATTGCACGATGATTCGAATGGTAGTGGCGCTGTGGTTTAAAAACAGTGGCGATGACTTAAAATTCGATGAATCTTTGAACGTTTTTCCACGACAAACGATGACATTTTACGACGAAATGACAGGAAAGGTTTGATCGTGGGTCGACACTGATGTTGATAAAGGTGACGGTGACAGTCACGACGGGCCGACCAACGACTATGAAAAGGGAAAAGGGAAAGGAGTAGAGGGGAGAGGAGATACCTGGGATGTTTGGGTTTTTAAAAAAATTAAATAAATATATTTTTTTAATTTTTAAATAAATTATCAAAATTATCATAATGTGACAAGTGTAACTTAACGACTAAATTTAAATATCGTTATGATTCAGACACCTAAAAATGTTTCGATGAAAACATTAAACACATGTTTTTAACGAAAATTTCTTCATGCACTAAAATATTTTTCGAAGCAAAATTTAGGCACTTATTAATATAATATTTTTTGTATTAAACCAAAAAAATAAAATTATATTAATATAATTTTTTAATTATTTTTTAATGCTGACATAGAATCCTCTTTATTTATGATTTTACTTCTTACAATAACAATTGAAGTGTATCATAGAATTCAAACTTTAAAGCACCCGTAAATCTAATTAAGCTAAAGAAAAGTTGGTACCTTTCACCCCTTGGTTGAAGGATTTACGTGCATGCAACCAATAATTGAATTCTATACATAGTGCAGAGCAAATGAAATCAAAGCACATGTTCATGAACGATAATAATCAAATCTTGTAGGCTTGAGGGTTGCATGTCTGCTGAGAGAGAGAAAAGGCCAGCAAAAATCTAAAGAGCCTACCAAATTTTCCCTGTTTGTTGTTTGGTAAAGATGGTACCTTTTTTGTCTTGATTCACTTCTTCTTCATGAAAATCCAGCTCTTCCCATAACCTAACCAGACAGTTTCTTCACTCTATCTCTCTGATCCCACCTTAGTCTTCTTCTTCTTCTTCATTTTGATTGTTGTTTGAGACTTGCAAGTTCTTTGAGTGTTTAAAACTATGATGTCTACACCTTTGGAAAGAAGCTTTTGGAAGATATCTTCTTCCTCCTCTTCAGTTGAGTCCGTAGAAGACAAAACCAGAAAAACAAACTATATTTCCTCTCTCAATCTCAAAGAAACTGAGCTGAGGCTTGGCTTACCAGGTTCTCACTCTCCTGACAAAAAGTCTGTCTTTTTGGCAAAGATTTAGAGAGCAATGATGAAAGTAATGGTTTTGCTGCTAGCCTTATCAAGAACTTGGCGTTTGGAGCTAAAAGGGGTTTCTCATATGCCACTGATGAGCCTAATGATAAATGGGTTCTCTCCATGAATGATAAATCTGATGTTGAGTTGCCTAAAGGTGCTGTCATTAAAGAGGTGACCGGTGTTCCTCCTGCAAATGACCATGCTAATGCTCCAGCTGCAAAGTATGTTCGTCTTCAAAACCCTGTTTCTTTTTATTCATTTTGCGGGTTGCTTTTCAACTTATTGAGCAAGATTTGTGAAACAGGGCACATGTGGTAGGATGGCCACCTGTTCGATCATTCAGGAAGAATACAATGGCCTCTAATTCAGCAAAGAACAGTGACGAGGCCGCCGGTGGTGACGGTTGCCTCTATGTAAAGGTGAGCATGGATGGAGCACCATACCTGAGAAAGTTGGACCTCAAGACCTGCAAAAGCTACATGGAACTCTCTTCAGCAATGGAGAAGATGTTCAGCTGTTTCACCATTCCTGAATATGTGGTCACATATGCAGACAAGGAGAGTTATTGAGTGCTTGTCGGTGATGTTCCGTGGCAGTAAGTATTGCTCGAACCACGCCCTACTATATGTTACAATCGTAATAATGTCAACCGAGTAATTTCATGTGTTTGTTACTCAGGATGTTCATCAATTCATGTAGGAGAATAAGGATTATGAAAGGTTCCAACTCCAAGGGCCATGGAGGAATGCAGAAACCAGAGTTAAGGCACAACAACAATCTTCGAAGCCCCCAAATTCTATAGTATAGATATATGTCGTGAGATATCTTAATTTTGATGTATTTAGTGTTTTTTAACATATAAATAAATGAATAAGCATATTATTAGACAAATTAAAAATATAAATTGTCAATCTAAGGCTAAAGCTTGGGTCACAATTGCAGGTAATGAGATTTTTGTATGAGAAAAAAGCCACATAAATTCAAACTTTGCTCTCATTAGGACAAATTAACATAATTCTCTCATCATTAAATTACATTGGATAGACATCTTAGGGTATATGATCCTAAAAGAATTGGACTCGATACTTTAAAAGAATGAACTAGAAAATACTCATAACTTGCTATGAGAAATGAAGATATTGGCACATGTTGCATCTACTGAAGTTATATCAAGCTTTGATCCAGAATACTTTCAAGATTCAGGTTTGGAAATTAGCAGATATACCATCTGTGTATATCCATTAAATACAGATCTCTCTAGCCTATCTAAACCGAGTTGCTGAAACAAGCGATACCGGCCATCTTCAACAATAGGAGGCGGTGCACGGCCAGGATCATATCTAGTTTGGTGGGTGAGAGATGGACCAGCCGTCGGTGGTAGCTCCCAGTAAACATCAAGAATCGATTCGACAAACCTACTGTTTTGAAAATGTTCGCCGTAAGAGATTACAGTCTTATTGTAGTTAAAATTATCCAGCATCTCCCCTCTAACACCCCACCAAGCTTCATGTGGTCCACAAAGTTCATTTATATCCACAGCCTTCTCCCAGAATTTCTTTCTTTTCAACCGAATTCTGCCTTCATCACTGTCCCTAAAGCAACTATGGCCACCACCTGAATAAACAAAGCTCATAATCAGGTACAGAACAAAAACAACTTCCGAAAGCAAAGATTCAAAGACATCGGAAAGTGAAGGAGCATACGAATGGAAGTCAAGTATAAATTACACACAAAATGAAAGAAGATAAAAGTGGACATAGGTCAAAAGCGTAGCAAAAGAGAAGACACTCCTAAGGAATTAAAGGGGAAAAAGGGTGTGGAAGGAGTATCTACCTCTTATGTAGAACTGGTCACAAATCTGCCTCAATGAGTAATGATCTCCTGTCCCGGTATCATAATTGTCTTCGAAAACAAGATGACGAAAGCCAGCTTTCAATGCCTGCTTTAGCCTGTTCATGAAATCACAACCCAACAGAATAAGCACGACAACTCGAAAGTCGAAACTATTAAAGGTAGAAACCAAGACATGTAACCTTCAATCAGCTCAAGCAATCCTTTTCAGCAATGCATAGATACATTAAGTACCTTTTCAGTTCATTTTGATGGTCATCAAAGAAGACGAGAACTCGGCTGAAATCCGAAATTCCACGAACCTTTAGCACCTTCTCCCAATTAACACTTCCAAAATCCACAAAATCTTTTCCAGCAAAGTAAGAGCAATTTTCATCGACATAAGCAGGTCCCTTTTTCAAGTACTTCTCCGGATACCGTAGTGTGAGGGAGATAATCGGCATGTCAGGCATTGCTTGCCGCAGAACCCAAGTGGAGTGTCCCTTGAAAACACCACTTTCAATCATTATGTCTGGTTTTATCCACCGGGCAATGAACCAAAGCCCAAAGTTGTGGTCAAAACCCATCCCATACATGTTTTTGATTGGCCGTGTTTCATATATCGGTACAAACTCCTCCAGGCCACTGATTAAATCTTTGGATGTCCATTCAACAGTTTTTCCATGTTTCGATCTGCCTTTTGCCAAGGATACAAATTAAACGGGTGTAAACCATGAGGGTTAAGAATTAAGAATCCAACATGAAATCGGGTATTGAGCATGAAATAAAATGTTTAAATAAAAACCCAATCAAGTTTGACCTTAAAAGATAAACTTCCACAAAACAACAAGGGTTGGAAGCGTAGGTGGGCACTCGAGTAATTTTTCTAACTCTTCTTTCAAGATATGAATCCTACACTTTCTACTAAAATCATCAATAAAAGTTAGGTAATATATGTTATCGCCAAGCGATGGTATATCAAAAGGAACGGCTATATCTGTGTGTACTATCTCCAGCAGTCTTCGGGCACGCTAGGATCTACCAACTTCAAAACTTTGTCTATGTTGTTTTCCTTTAATGCAAGCATTACATAATTGATTTGGAGGGTTGATCTCTGGTAGTCCTTTCACCATACTTGTTTTTGTTAACAACTTCAATCTTGAAAATCCAATATGTCCATATCGTAGATGCCATAACCATGAATCATCTTTGATTGCAATCTTCATGCACTTGACTTTTCCTGACTCGATATCAAGTGTAAAGAGACGATTTCGAGTCATATCAACTTGGGCTATCAATTCTCCTTCTTTATTTTTAATAGCAAGCGAGCGATTCTTCATCTGCACTTCATATCCTTTTTCCAGAAGTTGACCAAGACTGATGATATTGCTTTTCAAAGTAGGTATATAATAAATATCTGAAATGTATTTATTTTCTCCATTTCTCTGGGGAATCATGACTTCGCCTTTTCCTTTTAGTTATGCGTGCGAGATATCTCCTAAAGTTACTCGCCTATGGACTATTTCATCTAATTTCACAAACAATTCCTTTTGACCACACATATGGTTGTTGGCACAATTATCAAGATACCAAATATTTTTTTTGAATTCTTCATTTCTTTTATAAGTGAGAAATACATGAGATTTTTTAATTTTTTCTTCTTCAGCTGCAGCTACGCTATTTTTTTCTTCTTGTTTAGGAGCAGAACTACACTCATAATTATAATAACCATAGTTATTGCAATTATAACATTGTACCTGGGATTTATTTCCTTGTTGATATCTGCCTCGGCCTCTGAATCCTCTGCATTTTCCACGATAACCACCACGATTTCCCCGACCTCGTGTGTAGCTGCTGCTAGCTTCTCCTTCATTGACATTTACCTTGCTTTGTAGAGTTTGTTCCAAATTTTTAGAATGTTCATTTTATTTCATTTTCTGCTCATGGGCTTGAAGTAAACACACAAACTCATCGATCAATATTTGTGATAAATCTTTCGATTCTTCGATTGTCACGACCACGTATTCGAATTTTCTTATTAATGATCGCAAAATTTTTTCCATCACTCTAACATCGTCGATTGATTTGCCATTTCTTTTCATTTCATTTACGACCACTTTCACACGGCTAATATAATCATTGACGTTTTTTGTATTTTTCATTTTTAACATCTCAAACTCAACTCTAAGAGTTTGTTAGCGTACTTTCTTTGTTTATTCAGCACCTTGGAGAGATTTTTGCAAAACCTCTCACGCTTGTTTTGCGGTCTTTGCATCAGAAATTTTTTCAAAGGTAGATTCGTCTATTCCTTGAAAAATAAAGAACAACGTTTTTTTATCTTTTTTTGAGATTCATTCAATACCTTTTTTTCTTCATTGGCCAGGGTTGCTTCTGCATTTTCAGGCTCGGTGTAACCATCCTCGATGATAACGCCTTCATTTGAATGCTCCAATTGCCATAATTCGTCTTTATCAATCTCAGTATTTGAGGTTAAAACATCTTCTCCACCACGTTAAACTCGAACCAAGCTCTGAGGCCACTTTTTGGAAGCGTAAGTGGGGTCTTGATAATTTATAACTCGAACTATTATTAATACGAAGCAAAATACGTTACCCCAATATTACAATACTAACTGCGGCTTGTTTACAAACACATCCTTGCTATTCTAAGCTTTACTAAGCTCTCTCTTATTTTCTCTAGCTTTCACTGATATTTCATCTCATTTTCTTTGCATATATAACTAAGCTTAGGATACACATATATAAAGGTATAATAAACTGCCTCAAATGCTTCTACAATCTTCTTGTCGCATCATGTTTGCTTGTCGTGATTTGTTTTTCTTTTCATGTTTGCCGTGTAAATTCCTTAATTGTCAAGATTGCCAACTCAACCTGAGCTGCTGCCATGTTTTGTTGCTGCCTATTCATATTATAATATTATTAGCTTAATTTCTAAGTAATTCAAAAAACTTTATTAATTGATTTTGCTTCCACCTTTTTTTCCTTAATTATTAAGCATGAGCAGGCTGCCAAAAGCTTTTCAACTTTGCTCATTTCTATAGCCGTCTTTTTTTACTTGTAAGAAATTAACAAAGTTAGAAAAGTTTTTTGCTCATTTCAACTTTGCACTTGATTTCTTACAAGTCAAAAAATACGACTATAGAAATGAGCAAAGTTGACAAACTTTTGGCAACATGCTTATGCTTAATAATTAAGGGAAAAAACGAGAAAACAAAATCAATTAAGAAAGTTTCTTGAATTACTTAAAAATTAAGCTAATAATATTATAATATGAGTGGGCATCAACAAAACATGGTAGCAGCTCAGGTTGAGTTGACAAGCTTGACAATTAAGGAATTTACACGGCAAACATGAAAAGAAAAGTAAATCACGACAAGCAAACATGAGGCGGCAAGAAGATTGTAAAAGCATATGAGGCGGTTTATTATACCTATATATATATATGTGTGTGTATCCTAAGCTTAGTTATATATACAAAGAAAAAGAAAATGAGATGAAATATGAATGAAAACTTAGAAAAGTTAGAGAAAATTTGAGAGAGCTTAGTAAAACTTAGAATAGCGAGGTTGTGTTTGTAAACAAGCCACATCTAGTGTTGTAGTATTGTAATATTGGGCTAACGTATTCTTATCAATAATAGTTCAAGTTATAAATTATCAAGAGTCCACCTATACGTTTCCAACAACAAGGATAACCAAGATGAAAATTTAATAGATAAAATGTTGATAAAAGTAAGCAAATGGCCCATCTTTATACAGTAGGTTGAATGTTTCATCAAGAAGTCAAATACACTTAAAAGATAGTTGCATGGAATATTAATCCAGAAGCTTAATGTTTTAGAATCAGAATGTTAATAGTAGATTTAATAGTAGAATCAGAATGTTATCTAAATAATAATAATCTTTATATTAATGAATGCATCGATACTAAAAGATATAATAGTAGAATCAAAATGTTCAGCTTTATAATTACAGTCGAGAGGAATTTCTGAACATATTAATTGAAACAAACAAGCATCTGATCTTAATGAGCCATAAATGGAAAAATGGAAAATGCAGCAATGCGACTTAACGGCTACCGCATTCAGCTAATGCAAAATGAAGAAAATTTACAGATCTGATCTAAAACCCATAAATGCATCAAAATAAAGCAAAACTTACACCAAGGAACGCCAAGGGATCCGAAATCGGAGTCAACCCCATCGAAACCGAAGAGACTGACCCGAGAGATCGGGTCATAAGACGAGACGCAAACGAAGGAGCGAGAGGTCAGCACCAAAGAGAAAAGCGCGAGAACGATGAAGAGAAGGCAGAGGCAGGGGGATTTGACGAGTGCGATGCGGGAAATGTAATTGGTGGCCAAGAGATAGAGGTGAGGCTTCTTGGTTTTGGATTCCTCGTCGAGAAAGGTGGGGGATCCGGGGAAGGGAGATACGGAGGCGGAGGAGGAGAAGGGGAAATCGAAGTCGGGTTGGGGCTGAGAACGGCGGGAGGAGATGGTACGGTCCTGCATGATGGCGGTTGGGGATTTGGGCGACGAGAGAGTGTGAGAAGCGGAGTGGGAGTGGTGATGGGTACTCATTTTTACCCGTTTCCTTCTTCTGTTATTCTTCTTGAAAGAATGCCGAGTGTTGTACAGCTTAGTATTGGACTATGTTGAGCCTTTGGACTTACCAGGATGTATTAATGGGCCGATACAACAATTTTCCACCATGAAAGCATAGCCCCAAACAATACTATTCGGATTGCAGAAACTACGTTTATTTGGATCCATTGTCGCTTGCTTCCTACTCAAAGCCATCAGTGATTCAGTGGGCATCTTTTACCGGTAAAAGCTTAAATTGCATGCATACAAAGAACACATATTACTACCTCTTTCATAAATTTAGATTTGTCAACTTTTTCCCATCTAATAAAAAAAATTACTAGGAAATTAGCAGACAAAAAAATCAACTTGCTTCACAGAAGAATTTACTTATTGGTTCATTAATTCTTCATGAAAATTTTCACCCTTCTTAGTTAAACATATTTGAAAATCTTCTCATCATGAACATCACAGTAAGAACTAACAACACTTACATTATCTTCTCATCAAAGAATATTTGTACAGTAACTGCAGACACAAAGATGCAGCTGCTTAAGGCTCCTCTGAACGTAATTTTTTCTCGGAAGTCCATTCATGCGCTTTCCACTCGGGCAGTTGTTGAATCACCAGCTGCATTGTTTATGTTCATTATCATTTTAATGCCACATTTTACAGGGAAAAAAAGCCTGAGAAAGATTACAAACCATGCCCCTTTAATCTGGTTTACCAACAGTTGTTTGACAGGCAACTGAGGCAAGTCTCCAGCTTTTTGGTTTCTGCAAATAAGTCATGATGAGTATATTATTCGACATTCATTCGAGTCCGGATAACATAATTGCGAAATGACGAGTTACCCTTTTCATCTTTTCCTTCTCTTTGTCTGTCCGAGGGCTGAGCAGCTCCAACAACCCCGAAGGAAGCTTCTCCAAATTTTCAGTATCTCGAAAGGGTGGATGCTTTTTACAATGATGGTTGGTGGGTCGGGACTATCAGCGGTAAAGAAGGGTCGAAGTATTGGGTATATTTCGAAACTACAAAAGGATGAGCTCGCCTACCCCGTTTCTCAGTTAAGAAATCATCTTGAATGGCGCAATGTAAAATGGGTTTCTTGCACCAAAAGTTTCTTTTGAAGATTTATGTACTCAGGCTTTCGTTTCTTTTATGTTTTGTTTTGATGAACATGTGTAAACTTGATGGAACACACAGTGATTTGCCTGTTCATGGCTTTTTCTTGTTAAATATATACGTATACACACAACTAAATCTGCAACACTTTTCATTGTGAGAGAAATTGCTCTTTCAAGTGGGAATGAATATATGTTCTTTCCTCGGGATGAATATCCGAAGGAATACGATTACGCAAGCCGTGAATCTTGATGAACCCTAAAGAAATAGCACAAGGGCAAGATATGGAGATGATTCTAGAATCCAAACAAATACTCCATGACTTTGTTCCCTAATGATCTTGTAGGGTTTGCCAAAGGCCCTCCTGACTGTTGTGCATTGGCATTGCCGTTTAGAAGATGGTATGTACGAGGTGGTTGGAAGTTGTTTGACTCTAATTTTCTACTTGATGTTGAGGATAAAGTCATAAAACCCTGATTATTCAATCTTTCATTTAAAGTTTCCCGGTGCATCGGATCCACCGGCTTCACCCCAATGATTAGTACTCCATTTATTTGCATTCCGTTCTTGCCGAGTGCCCTCTGAGCATCGGATCCTTTCTGCACAAATGGAAAGCAGTCATTACCATGTTTCGGTTTTAACATCAGGAAATTAAACATCTCCAATTAGTTCAGCTAATCCACAGGAGTCGAGACTTTAACATACTACACTGCATATATCTCAGAAAAGGTACATAGAAAAAGAAAGGAGTTCTTGGCCTCAAAACGGATAACACAAGACAATATGTCAATATAACCCGCAGTTTAGAAGCCAAACTGAACATAAGGATCCGATCGAAGGATTACAGCCCATCTGTCGACGAACATTTTATCAAGTTTGAGTTTCAGAAGGAAAAAATGAAGTTACTATGTCATTGTTATAAAAAACAGAAATCTAGTTTTGAACTATTTTCTTCAGTAAACAACTTTTTATATTCTGAAATTGGTTTTCCTTAGACAAATAAAGAAAAACAGCAGGAACATTGCCAAAAAGAGAGACAACCAGGGCACAGAATACTCATCAGTCACCACAGAAGAACATTAATGATCTCACTAATACTCATCACAAAAGAAAATTACAGGTATCACGAAAGAACATTAGCGGATAGGAAATAGCATCAGGGAGAGGAGAGTCACCGAGTAAAGAATGTGCATCCAGTTAGCATCCCGTGGACCAGGAACATATTTCAATATCACACCACACTTCTCAAATTCTCGCAAAACTAACTTTGTATCAGCGGGAGAAAATCTGGAAAGAAAGCAAATAGTGAAGCCATAGGTCTCGTATACAACATCAAAAGAAGACCATGAAACTTTAAACCTAACATTTAGGTTCCACACTCTAGTTAACTAAGACAAACATGGATAGATATGTATAACCACCAAGAAAGAAAAAGTTAAAATCGCAGCTGAGTTACTATAAGGTTATAGATTGTAGATAGTGTATCAGACGAAAGATACAAGGAAAATTTTTGGCAAACATATTAGACGAAGCCAATTTAGCTATTATTTAAAACATGTAAGCAGATAACATCCAAAATAATTATGTATTTACCTGACATAATCAGGTAAAATTTTGGAGAATCAAATGAGGATAAAACGGAACCGCAGATAAATGACCAGTGAAATAATAAATGCAGAGGTTACTCAGAAAAATGAGGCCACATTGCAGAAAACACAACTGACTGCTAGAAGACAGCAAGACAATAATTCAACTATTAGGTAGAACATGAAAGCATGGAGCATACCCAAAAACAGTAACCCAGTCTTCCCCATCCAGATTTCCAGCAGGTATGGAATTATTCTGTATCTCTGGCCTGGCAACTTGCTTCGGAGGCAGAAGTGTGATCAAAGCACCAGACTGAGCCATGCCCTCAGCGGGAGAGCCCTTTCCCTTGTCATCCTGCCCACTGCCATTTCCCTCGGGCGACCACCAACTCGAACTCGCAGCACTCTGCTGCCCATTAAGTACAGCAAATGTACTGCTGCCCCCTGACTTGCTCTTTGCAGGAGTAGAGAAGTCATGTCCGGAGCTTTGGATCCGGGTTCTTGGATCCGACTTGACTTCAGGAGAAATAGGATAATCCAATCCCCCGGATTCAGGTGGAAAATCTGCACGGTCCTCCAAGGTGTACATAGGAGGAGGTGGAAGATCCGAGCCACCACGATTCTCTCGCCGTAAAGCCGAAACTGCTGCTGCTTGACCTGGACTTAAGAATTTCCCTCGCCGGGCAGAGACTGGTGATGCCAAGTCTTGGAAAAACAATGATTGTCTCCCCGATTTCGGAGTTCTATTAACCCACAGTGCTCATTTCTAGGAAAGAAATGAAAACTTAATAAAGATTCCTACATACATAATTATAGATCATGACATTAGCTTTATAAAAAAAACCACTATTGCAGATTAGTTAACCATTAAATTTCAAAAAGCTCAAAAAAACCACCAACTTTAAGATCATCAACAGAGTAGTTAACAACAAATAATAACTTGAATAGTTTACAGCTCCACCCATATATGTATATGTATGTTCAAACAAATTACCAGAACAATCAATAGCTAACAACAAATAATAACTTTAATTTCACACAAACCATTATTGCAGTGCAATTCCCTGGACAAACCATTTATAAATATATAAAAAGAATTAAACAAACTAATTTGAGAGAAAGAACCTTCGAGTTGAGCTCCGTTTGGGTTTTCCCTCCAAATTGAAAAGCTGAAGAACGAAGCTTTTCTCAACGATTGAAACCCTAAACCTCAGATCCAAAATTCAAAATTCGTGTCTTGATTACTATCGATTCGGCTTAAATCACACAAAAAGCCTTCATTTTTCCCACTGTTTTCGCATTGCGGGTTCATTTTTTAGTTCAAAGATCGAACCATTTAATTTTTATTTCAGCCGATCAAATTATGAAAAATCCAATACAGTCTATAAAATAAAGAATTGATAAATAAAAGCTATTTCCTTTGCATTATGTTTGTGATTATGACTAATTCGTGATTAATTTAATGATGATTTGAAATTAAGTTAGTATTTGTTTGCATAATCAATTACTTGATATTCTGAGTTCACCTCGACAATAAGTTTCTTTGAGCCAAGCAACCAATTTCTGGCTCATGCTAATTAATGATCTTAATTAAAACCTAGTGAAGTTATACCAAAGTATCTCCTTAACTTAAACAACTAAACACCTTTAATATTGCTTAAATAAAAGTGTCACGAACTTAGTTTTATTGGTTCGGTTGCTAATCCGTGCGGCACTCGAAATGGGCACTTTCCCACCAAGTCAGTCTTAATCTCATATATCTGATCAAACACAAACGTGCATCGGGTTAGATCTTCGGAACAACAAGGTCCTTCAACCAAGGACCGATACCGTAGGGCATAGCGGATGCACACGGTCAACCTCGGACTTCTCCGAAGAAAAAAAACGTTTTATTAACGAAAAATAATATCGGGTTACATAAAATACCCACGGCATAGCAGATGCCTGAAACTCTTCGATCTTTTGCTTGAACGCCTTGAGGTCATACTCTCTCTCCCAATTGTTCTCTTCATGATCAAGGCCTCCCCAGAGTTTAAGTCCTTATACATGCATGAAATATAAAGTTTTAAATTTACGATATTTTTTTACATAAATTGCTTTCAAAGACATATTTTATTATACATTTACTTTTAAAATCAGATAATATAAATGATAAAATTATTATTATTATTATTATTATTATTATTATTATTACTATACACAATTAGCAAGGTTAAGTTATTTAAAAAAAGGGTTAATTTAAAAAAAATTATTTTAACGATCGGATTGATGTTCAACAAGGCACGCATGTTTCTTGACGGACCCTAGACCTTCAAGGTGCAATATGTACACCAAAAGCCCAAACGGGAGACACACACTTGAATACCGGACCTTATAGAAGATCAATCTATTTAAAGTTTAGAGTTTAGAATATGCATATTAATATTTTAATCAAAATTAATAAATATATAGGAATGAGTTTTGAAATCTCAGTTTTCTTTTAGCTTGAATATGTTATTCGATTATTTCTCTAAAACAGAAAGATCTATGCTTTCTTGGCTTGTTCTTATGATTTTGAATCATTGTTGACATTTCTCTAATTCCATTGAATTTTATTGTTTGGTAATGGGTTTTGTATAGGGATGGCAACTCAACCCGAACCCGACCCGATCGGGTCGGATTTTTTTTTAAAAAAATCGGATTCGGGTCGGATCGGGTTTTTTTAAATGCATTGTTCGTGTCGGGTCGAGTTTAGGGTGAAAAAATCCGACCCGACCCGACCCGAAAATAGATATAATTTTACCTATATATTTAAGGATAATTACAATATTACACCTCTATATATAATTTTTTTTAATTAAGTCACTGTTTTTATTAAATAAAAAAATATTTTTTTAAATTATTTCAGGTCGGGTCAGGTTTCTAAATCATATATTCAGGTCGGGTCGAGTCACAGGTGGAGGACCCTTTCTTCTCGAGTCAGGTGACCCAAAAACCTGACCCGACCCATTGCCATCCCTAGTTTTGTATGATATAAGAGAGGTTGATTGTCGCACTAAGTCGAATTTCCACTTTAAAATATATAAATTTTAAAGAGGTAAAAAAATAAATAAACTAAAGTCGGATCAAATATCGAATGAAAGTGTATAACAATTGTGTCATAGTAGAAACAATAAAAAAAAACCCGACTCATAATATTATACATCAATATAAAGATCATCCATGCCCTTTTTTTATATAAAAATTTAGGTCAGGTGGCTCCCCTAGTCCAGGGCCAGGGTATATCTAAGATCCAACTGAAATTTATATTAGAATTTATAGATTGTCCATCAAGAATAACAGTAGTAAGATTCGACCTTAACTTTATAAGCATAAAATCCTAAATTTCAATCAATTGTACCAACACTCGTTAACATAAATTCATCCATACTTATTGCACATCAAGAATTATGATTATCGTATACAATACCGTTGAAGATTCTTATATGTGTTATTAACTTAAAATTTTACGTCCGTCCTTATATGTGTTATTAACTCGGTCACCTAAGCAGCGCATGTGAGATTCTTTGGAAATCACATGCATGTTTTTGGTGCTTTGCAATCGTATATCCACATGCCTTTGCCTTGCTTCACTCCCCTCCCATGCATGCACATGCTCTGATTCTCATATCATGATATACCTAATGTACGTATACCATGTACTTTTACGTGTACTCTTTAAATGCTATTATTTTGTATTCATAATTATTTAAGTTTCTTTCTAGACTTTTTATAAAGTAAAGCTGCTTCCAAAAAACAACCGTATTCTCATTTTGTCCTTAACCTTTTGTTTATATAAATATGCCCAAAATGTATTGTTTAATTTAAAATGATTTCGAACATTCAAGTAAGTATGGTTTCGATCTTTATTAATTCCGCCAATACTTTATTGATTGTATAAACAAATATTAAATAATAATGTAATTTTTATTCATCAAACAACAATATTAATAAACAATTTTCTTTGATTCTCGTAATTCAGATTGATTTTTTCTCTTTATTTGACTTTATCCTATAAAAATGGTTCGTGCTACAGACGACGTCTACTTTGATTTTATGAAATCCATGCCCAATTAATAATAATAATTTTAAAAAATCATTGCGTGCAGACATCAATCTTAGTATGATGGGTATAGGTCGGGTTTTGGCCAACACGACTCGACTCAAAAAATATATATACTTCACTCGATCCGAATCCGAATCTGACTTGATTTTTTGAGATAAATTTCGAACCTGACCTGACTCGACTCGAAGTAATAAAAAGTATTATTTTATTTAATAAAAATAGTGATTTAATTGAAAAAAATAATATATAGAGCGATATTATTGTAATTATTCTTAAATATATATAACGTAAAATTATTTTTTCGGGTCGGGTCAGGTCGGGTATTTTTCACCCTAAATCCAAATCCGACCCGACCTAAATATCACCTTTAAAAAAATCCGATCCAATCGGATCAGATCGGAACCCATCGAGTTCAAGTCTAATGCCCATCCCTAATCTTAGAAACTCTACTTTACTGATTTTTAAAAATATTTTTAGATTTTAGTTTTAAAAAGTATTTTATTAATTTGAATGGAATACAAGATAACATTCGTTTAAATACTCCAAAATATATAACATTGAATATTAATATTTTTAACATACATGGTATTCAAACACGAGATCCTAATTAATAATAACAATTTACCTAGGTACATAGATTACTAATTTTAAATTAATATAACTTTTCAAAAAAGTCAAATAACAAAATATATAATTTTAGAAAATGCTATGCCACCAATAAAATATTGTTTTTTTTTGTTGATATTAATTCAAACGTCACTTTACTTTGAAATATTTAACCATTTCCCTTTCCACGTGCAAATGCAACTACGTATGGAAACAACACCTTTTCTCTCACCCATTTACAAAAAAAAGTGTTTTCACCCATTTCATCCAGCCAAACTCAATAATATATGAATCTATTAATTTGTATCAATAATAAAAATAAATATTATTTTTTCTATAGTTTATAAGTTCGAACAGTTATATTTATAGAGTATGTACGTTATTAATTAGTTAAAAATTATGAATAGATATTACTTTATAATTGTAAATTATTTTTAAAAAAATCAACAATATTTATTTTGTTTAGGGGAACAAAAAACCTCCACACTTTGATATAAATAAAAAAAATTCGTTTTTTATTACTCTCGATTGAATTTTTAAACTAATCAGTTAAAAATTTAAATGAAAAAATAAACAAATAAAATTATGTATCAATTTTATTTATTATAATAATAGTATGAATTTATATAAATATCACATGATAATATCGTGATTTACACTGATAATTCAAAAAAAATTAGATTTAACAGTCAACGTCAGTTAAATAGGAAAATTGATTATATTTAATAATATAGAAATTTAATTGAGTGTAGTTTTTTTTTTAATTTTAAGGACTTCTAACATTTTTTCAGTTTAATTTTTTATCCATTTCCTTAGTATTGTAAGAAAAATATTAAATCGAGAAATGTGTAGTGTGTAATGGGTATGAACTTATAACACAAACAGTAAACGAACATTAAAAATAAAAGGAATTAAAACGAAAAAAAATTAGTTGGATTGCAATTACGAAAAATAAAAATTAATTCTAGAAACTGCCGATGGGTAAAAATTAACTATGACTAACTTGCTCTGTTTTTCTGTTCTTTTTTTTTTTTGGTAAAGCTTTTTATAATAACTAAATCATGTGCCTAAAATGTGGACCACCGTGATGATGGATCAAGAAATCATCAGCACAATCACCACCGTTAGATATGCAGAAAATCGAAGTTTGACTAACAAGCTGTTGATGATGCTGTGCTCTTCGGAAATCCTTTTGCCTCCTAAGCTCCAAAACTTTCCTATGAGAATTCGAATGCTTCGTCGACACAAACGTCGGACTCGCAGCGGGTCGGTATT